TATCAGCTGAATCTGATAGTAGTGCAGTTGTCTTTGTGCCAGAGTGCTATTTAGCCTGGCAGTAGACAGTTCTTTGCAGAATAGAAATGTAATTAAATTATTTCCTTTATCAAATCAATTCTGATTGCTAAGAATGCAGTAGGGCACATCCCTCCCTGGTGTATTGCTTTTGGCTTACACTTTTAGGAAGATGTTTTTGCCTGTGTTATGGGTACTTGAACAAATTTCAAGATTTCTTCACACACAGGTGCTCCTTAGGAAGTCCAGATATTCAGGAGGGAGCGCAGGGGTTACAGCTCATGAGATGGTGTGTATTTTGCAGCACAAAACCTGTAGGTCCTGCTACAGGCTTGTTCTAGGTCACTGGATYTAGCTAGGAAATGATCTATCAAATCAATATTCCATATTTCTACAGGTTTGTCACAAAAAGTGCTCTTGCAAGTAGCTGACGCCTTCAGACAGGTAGGCCCATGGCCTCCTCTTTCAAAAGCTTTTTTTCCCCATGAATTATAAACTTCACAGCAAGACCTTTTAGGCTGAATTTTGTACTGCAAGCTCCTCAGACACTTGCTCACTGCTGAAGAAATTGATTTTGTGTCAAATTGTGGAGTGATGTATTTGAATCTGTTCTTGCACCTTGAAGCCTAAAAATGTCTTTAATTCAAAATCTTAGTGGAACCAATGCAGAGGCCATGATTGCAAACGCAAACTCATTTAGTGATAAAAACACTTGGTATAAYATTATTCTTTCTAATTAAGCTTCTTTTTTGCGAGAACAAATATTACACCATCTACAGTTTATCTTGGTTTGTCAAAAAAAATGCTGGAAGGGACATTTCTGAAAACTAGTGGCACATTCATTAAGCATGAAAAAATGTTGGTGGTCAAGAGGCTTAGGTCACCCCATCACTGTGACCCAAAAATACTGTGAACAGTTCATTGGTACGGAAAAAAAAGGATCTTCATGTTAATACCAGAGATAATTCACAAGGGTTTTGATTACTCTGTTGATAAGTATATCTAAAAATAACCCCTTTTTTTGGTTCTTAGGCAACCTAATAGCCAAAAGTATATGAAGCAATAGTTCCTGTAGGCCCTGATTTGTGTTAAAAGTAACAACCATCAAAGGTCCCCATGGCCAAGCTGTCCAGAAATTCTGCGCTTTTCTTTTTCTCTTCTTTGCTACTTTGATAAGTGAAATTATTGCAAGCAGGAAACAGACCCCAACACCTTCCCTGAGGCAAGAAGAAAGCAAAGAGTGCATGAGTTGCAGTCACCCACGTGTGGGTGTGGAGTAAGTCCTCGTCTCCCACTCTCAGGAATAATTTGCTGCAAGCAGTGAGTGCCGTTGTCTTTGATGTACGATTGATTACATCTCATCAAACATGGCTTGGTATAATCATCATTTTGTTTGCCTTTCTGTCCTCAAAATAAGAAACCCAATTGATTTTAAAATCGGAGCTTCCCCTGTGGATGAACACAGATGTTTCCAGGCTGCTGTAGGAAGAAGTGTGAGCGGGTGGGATTTGTTCACATAGAAGGATGTGCTCCAGCAAAGGGAATCCACAGCTCGTAGCCTTGACGTGAATCCATGTCATTACACAGATGTCCTGCTGGGATGTGGAGGCTGCAGGGCACTGAGAGCCATGTAAGATTGTCCTTCCTTTTTATTAGTGCTAGTGAAGGCTCAGCAGGTAGGTTGTGTGCAGTTCGGAGCACTCTGCTTCAGACAAATAGGTGGCCCTGAGGCAGAGCAGCTAGAGGGAAGCACCAGGAACGATTGTACTTGGAGTAAAAAATAAGCTGCTAGGAAACACTGAGCAGAAAAGCCTTCTTTTGATCTAGATAGCAGGACTGAAGAGAGATGTATGTCTTGCAAGGTGCAAGAAGATGTTTTTTGTTGCAGTGAAGCAGGGGTTGTCTGGTCTCCGTTGGTGTATGGGGCCATTGGTGCAACTTCACTTGTTGCATTATCAGGCAGGAAAGACACTGCAGGGAAAGAGTGAAACAGGATGGGTTGTCTGGTGGAGGTTGCACAATCTGCCCAGAAGAGTCTCTAGGATCAGGRTAAGACACATCTGGCACGAGGGAGCTGCCGGGGTTGTGTCCTTAGGACGGACAGGCAGATGGGAGGTGGCAACTGCCTGGAATTCTGTTTTTGGTCTGTGAATCCCTTGCTGCACCCTCCGTTTCTTTTAGCCTCTGAAATTAGCCTGTTTCTTAGGATTTATGAGTACTTTCAAATAATGATTTAAACAAAACTATATTAAAAAAAAAATCAAAAAATCATCTTTTTTTTTTTCTTAGTAGTAGCAATTTAACGCACCAGATGGGGATTTGTCTAGAAAGGAGACAGGAAATCTTAGGCAGCCAGATTTTGGGCAGGATACACTTCAGTGCTGTGCAGCGGTTGCAGGCTGCTCTCCTKTGGGAGTGAATTATTCCCCTGAGGCTGAGCTGGGGCTTTGGGTTTTGTTACTTTTTTTCCTTTTGTCCATAGTTCTGTGATTCTGTGCAGTGTCACAAAGGGGTTTTCGTAGCCYGCATGGAGTACTCAGCTCTGAACCGCTGGGTGCTCTGTTGTGATTTGTGCAGATTTTTCCTTTCTTATATTTTTTCATTCTTCTTTGTAAATAAATACCTAAACTTGTAAAATGTACTCAGTTGTCCAAGAGACAAATTTATTTTTTTGTATATACAGTTGTTTTTTTTCTCTCCAGATAGCAGACTGAGACCAAACTATAATACAAAGACTCCTGACCCAAATTTTGACTTCTGTTAGTGTGCTTAAATGTTTTTAGTTTGTTTTGTTTTTTTTTTAGTCCACAAAATGTTTTAGAAACACCATTATTATCATTAGGATTCTCTCAGGCTATTCAAGGCTGACTGTTGTATATTTGCACCTTATGACTTTTTAGAAGGCTCCTGCAAGGAACTCTTGAGTTGTCTGTGTTTTAAAAATTTTTCTGTAAATTCAGAGAGAAAAAAAGGCTGGATATGAGTAAAGCTGTAGCTACCTATTGTTCCACCCAGTGCTGTCTCATGTTCGTGCTTTCTTTTCTCAGCTGTCTCATGTTTTGGCCAGAAGATTTTTGGGGCAGGAATTGTTGTGCAGTGCTGGGGTGAATGATACCCTGGTGTAAGGGGGTAGCTCTTTGTGTGGCTCTGGCTCCTTGTCCCTTGCGAAAGCCAAAAAGTAAAATAGTTTAAGGTGGGTGGCGTCATGAGGGTGTTACAAACATTTCTATAATGAACATTATTGATGTAGAAAAATGCAGGTATAAAATTGTACTTGAAATCAATAAAGGATTTATCTGAATACATTCAGAGCTTGTTTATTATACTGCTAACCTCTACTAACTTGTGCAAAAAATATTAATAATCTCAAAATGATCGGACTAAGATGCTTTGGGAGCTGCACAAACTACACGCCAGCAGTTTTCGTTGCTGAAGTGGTGCATGGGGTTTATTATYTTAATTTAAAAAAAGAAAAGAGGTGGTGGAGCAACCACTTCTTGTGCTTTATGATGGATCTTATCTGAAGCAAGTCTGATCTGCCGAGTTGTTGTCGCTGTTGGAAAGCTTGTGGGGTACATCTTACCTCCCTGAATGCAGTCAAGCTGTAACATTTTCTTTTCTTTTTAATTTACTGCTTTAATTTACCCGAACAAAGATGCAATGTCTCAGATTCCTTTTAGAAATTTTATATGTGGATTGTTCACTTTCTGAAATCCTCCTTGGAGACTTTCATTAGCAGGAGCAATTAAGTTTTCTCGAGACAACTCTTTGCTGGATTTATTTTTTTGCACCTGGTTTTATATTATATGCATTACTTACAAGATCGATCTCAAACTGTGGTCTTAAGTCTTTTAAAATATGTTTATACACGACCTAGTAGATCTAGTAGTTACAGTACSTAAAATTACTCAAAATATATATTTGATAAATTGTTCCTTTAGCAATTTTGAGATTATGTTAATAATAAATCCAGGCAGCTTAAACTGTGTTGCTGGAGTACTTTTTAATTCAGATTAATTCAAACTGGGGAAGCAAAGTTAGACCATTAATGCATTTATGGTACCCCTATTTTGTTCAAGAATTATAAAATGAGTGGATATTTAAATCACTGCATTACCAAAAAAAAAAAAAAAAAGAAGAAGAAGAAAAAAAATTTGCACTTTGGTGCAATTTGCTGACTTTTCCTCAAAATAAGTAATTAAGGTGTGAATCTGTGTTTAGTGCTAAGATTTGAGGACTGCAGAGACTGAATTATAGGGAATTAAGCAGCAGAGAAAATGGCAGAGAAGGGAGGAGAGGGAGCTGATTAAGCACTGAATGGCCATGCCTGTAACCCCTTGAAATCCAGCTCAGTTTTTTAACTTACCTACCACCTTGGGAAAGGAAAGAAGGAGCGAAATGAGATTTCTCAATATTTTGCCATCAAAATAACGGAGAGAAAAGCATAGAGACACTAGCATTATGGCAGTGATCTCAAGTTCCCTAGCTGCCTGAATTGGTAGGAATAACCTAGTTTTATTCCTCTTTATTCCTCTCCAGCTTAAAAGATGTGGTAATGTTCAATCTGTACCTCAAGAACTTGGTGAATGTGGAATGTGTCTGCAGAAACAAGATGCCCGTGGGCCCAGCAAGCTGTAGGTCCGGCCTCTTGTCCGGGTGAGGGCAGGGCGGGAAGCGCCAGCCCTGGAGCCGGCTCCAGCCGGCTGGAAGTCCGGAAGGCTCCTGCTGGCTGCTCCCTGTRGGATACGGATGGACACGACAGCAGCAGGCGGCCAGGGAATGCGGCCCTGGAAGAGGGTGCAGGAAGGGAAGGCCTGTGCCCGGTTGCTCGCGCAGCTCTACCCACACATAGAAACTTGTCTTTTTTTGTCGCAACAAATTGGGTTTAAAACTGGCAAAGCAAAGTTTTAACTAACTTTTCAGAGACTGATGTTTAGGTTTATCTTGGTATATGTATTGTATATTTATTTTTTTTTCCACAGAAACCTGCTAATATTTTAGTTATGGGTGAAGGTCCTGAGCGAGGAAGAGTAAAAATTGGTATGTTTATATCTTTGATAAGTCCCAGTGTAGCTTTTAAGCTAGAATGTTCTGAAGGTGCAGTTGTACCACGTAAAGTAGTTACTGTGATGTTAGTATGTGCCTGGACACACTGTCCAGAAGCTGTTTTCTGAGTGACTGGCTTCTTGCTATTAGACCCAGGCACCAGTTCTGATGATGAAATGCTGTAGCCTCATCTATGAAAAGTGGAAAATGTCTTTATGTTTTGTCTAAATGGGGCTGTGGGGGGTTGATGTAGGGGAAAAGATGAGGACCAGCTGGGGGAAAAGGAGGAGAAAGAAATGGGATTTTAATATTTCCTCCGTTTACCCCTGTAAAGTCATGACACTTCCTTGCCGCTGCCTATAAAAGCTAAATAGGGAGCCATTTATTACTGCAAACCTTAAAATTTAGGATGGAATGAAAGATGGCATTAAGCCTAAAAAATGTTCCTGAAAGGCTAGGCAGGTTCCTYGGAGATAAGCATGAGGGATCCTAAAGTCCAGAAAACGCTTTAATCAAGACAAAATACCTAGTAGGAACTAATGCTAAATGTTTAGAATGAGATGGAAAAGGTAGGAACGACCCCAAACCTTCCCCACTGTCCTAACATTTTCAGGTGGGTGTTACTGTTTACAGTGAGAGGATAATTTGAAGAACCTCAACTGATTTAAATCAAATACATAAACAGAAATTAACTTTAGTCTAACAACAGTAAGCTATAGCAGGCTGTGCATTAATGCGGCTGTGCTCTGCCAGCAGCCTGCTAATGCACAGCCTGTTCATACTCGTTCTGGTGGCACAGGCAAGTTTGGAAGGTGTTTGTTTTGTCTTGTTTTTAAGATCATCTTTTTCACTTCCCTCTGGCTTTCTTTTAGGAGATTATTCTTCTGCATTGCTGCTGTGTATTCCTACCATTTTGTTAACTGAACTGTAGTGTTAATTACTAGCATACTCATCAGGGGTAGGATTTTCACAGAGTGTCCAGTGCTGCTCTAGCTCTTCCCTCCCCATTTGAAATCCCAGGAGCAGCCAGGTCAGGGCTGAGCACTTCTGCACTTCCTACCCCGAGAGCTTTTAAAACTCCTCTGCAGTTTAAGGTTGACAGCAGACACTGCGGCCTTCCATGTACAAACCAGGTGCAAGGACAGCAGAAGGGAAAATATTTTTTCCTCCTGGTGCCGTTCCCATAACACAGGGGCTGCTTCCAAACCTGAGACTGTAGGTCAGGCTCTGGGCACGCTCAGCATCAGCTGTGGGGGTGATGCTTGAGGCAGGCAGCTCTGTTAGAGCACATAGACCACCCATTTATTTCTTAACTGACAGTTTTGAATTAAATTGGGAATAACGTAGAGCACAGCTAAATTTAGGCAAACTCTGTTAACGGACAGGTGAAAGTTTCTGTATCGCTGCACCAGTCCTCTGAGCCATCCGTTCCTGGGGGAGAGCAGGGAGGGAAGGAGACAGACCCTGGGTTTCTAAGTGTGGTATCAAAAGGTAGATTTTGTGCTTTTTATTTTTCTTAAGATATAACTGCAGCAGGAAAAAAAGTTATCCCATACCAAGGGCTTCCACTTTTCCAAAGTAACTAATTTTTCTAAAAATGCATAACTGGTATTTAACGCAAAATATTTTTTTAGGCCTTTTGTGCCATTCTGAGTCATAAATTAACTTCTACAAACAATTTTCCTTTTCATAGATACAAGTGACTTGATCATACCTTGAGCAGTCTTGATATTTCAGTGTAGAAAATTCTGAAACGTTTCATTTTTAAATGCAATAAACCAATCTTAAATAGGAATGCTAATGGGGGAAAAATGGAAAATTAAGATTATGGAATGAGATTAGACACSCACATTTACACTGCAAGTTTCCCTTGGCCGGTGAGCCAAGATAGGCAGTTGTTTTTCCTTGAAAAATCGTATTTCCTTTGAGTCTCCAAACCTATCCATCCCTGCAGCACAGATTCCCTGGATTTGGGGGTTTGGGAGTGGTGGGTAGGGACGCTCATTTAGTGGGAGAAGTGGCAGAGATTAGCCCTGGCATCTGCCCGCTTGGTCCTTAGGATTTGTACAGGTGCATGTACAGAAAATCAGAGGGAGAGAGGGAGATACGATAGGTTTATTTGCCTAATTCCTTCCCCTCCTTTCTTTTTCTCTTTTTTATTCTTTTTCTTTAAGTTTATGAAGGTTATCTGGCTACAGCCAGCTTCTTGAGGAGGTGGCTGTAGTGACACATGCAAGTATATATTATAAATCATTCTAACCTTTGGAAAACTTGAATTTTGCTCGCACTTAAAACGCTGCTTCTGGAATGACCATGCTGTTATAACAGAATATTTTACKGGAGAGCATCAGGTAAAATGAGTGGGGATTTACCAGTGTCCTGAGTGAAGTGAGCTGCTTGTTCAGAACAGTGGTTAATTCTTTGTTTTCCATGGCTCCTGTTAGCAGTGATTTATAATGATATACTTGGTATGTGATGGCATCCAGTAACTTCTACAAAAACTATGAAATATGCACACAGAGTTCCTATCTGCTACAGTATGTGTTTCTTTTTTAGCACAATGATAGTAGCACTAACAAATAATCATCAGTTCATTTAAAAAATGTATTTTTCCTAAAAATAAATAAATAAATAAAAACTMTCTCTCTTTGAATTTTGCAGCTGACATGGGCTTTGCCCGATTATTTAATTCACCTCTGAAGCCTTTAGCAGACTTGGATCCAGTAGTTGTAACGTTCTGGTATCGAGCTCCAGAGTTGCTTCTTGGAGCAAGGCATTATACCAAAGCTATTGGTAAGTAACAGGGAGGACAAGACGATCTTGGGTCCTCTGTGCCACTCGGTGCAGGTTGCTGAAGCACCGTGCGTGGTCCCTGGTACAGAGGACAGCAGCTGAGCTCAAGGTATGGTGCCCATTTCTGGCAGAATGCTGCACTTTGAAAACTGTTTAGCTTGTTGGTATCTCCCAGCTACATGAAATGTTCCATTTTTATGCCTCCAAACACCCTCTGAGGCACAGTAGTTATGTATAACTTTCTCACTGGGTTGTTGTACGTGCTGTTGGAGCTGGTAATTCAAAATATTGATGCATCTTAGACCTACTAGTAAAATCCATATGGTGATCCATAAGGCACAGTGCGCAAGTTTTATTGCAGAGCGTTTTTAATCTAGTTTAACAAGTGCATGAGATAAATCATAAATTGAGGATTATACAGAACGGAGAATGTGTTGGCTGCACTGAAATTAAACTGTAAAAGTAAAGACTAAAACAGCCTGACGCTTTCTTTTTTACTTGCTAGTTAACATTTCTGCCAAGAAAACTACGGAATTTGCTGTGGGAAATTACTAATTTTAAAGTTTCCTTTCCTTGGGGTTTGAGTCTTCAAGGAAGCTGTCTCTGGATGAAAGCTGCTGTGCAGGCTGTACACTGGCATATGTTTTGTAACTTGTGGGACCTGAATTTCTTTCGTCAAGCTTCAACATTTCAACCTTAAACTTAAGCCAATGTTTTTGTCAGAAATTTCAGTGTTTACCACTGAAGTGTATTTTCAGCAGCTYCTCTGTTAATGCTTTGCTTTCTTTAATGATTAAAGAACTGATTAATTTCTTTATCTGTTCATTTAAACTGCTTTTTTACCTTTGCATGTTCTTTTTCTCCGCTGGGTATTTCAGCATGTGAAACCGCACAGGTGCTCGTGCTCCTAGCACGTAATTTTTGTGTATTTTATAGCGTAGATAAAACTTGGCTGTGCACAGCCCCTGAATCATGGGCTATGCTGGCTGCCTCGCTTGCTTTTGTCCTTGTTCTTGACCTCTTTGCTGTGCATTCAAGTTCAGGGTAGCTTTCCATKGCCGGGATAGAAACCACATTGCACATGCTGCGTGAGTAAGTTGGAAATTGTGTATGTTCATCCCAGGAAATAAAAGAGGGGAAAACAGAGAAAATGCAGACAGATTTTTGCACACTGAGACACAAAAATGAAAACTGAAATGATCTTTTTTTGCTTTAAAAAGTGTTAGGACAGGAAGTTGGCTACAAAGAAAAGCATGCTGGTAGCTTCATAAATAGCATCTAAATAATAAATAGTATCTAAAAGCAGATATTTTGCCATGGAGTAATTGTAGTTTTGTAATTAATCTCTTTTTGCAAAGTTGTGTAGGTAGAAATCTGTTTATTCCAGTRTCGTTGCCCTTCAGCACCTGCTTGAGGATATAAGACATTGAGGGGAAAGGCAGCATGCAAGTGAACTCGATAAGGTGTTGGTTGGCTCTTCATTTATATTTTGTGTGGGTGGACAGYTCCCCACACATTTTATTTAGTATTTTTTCTTGAAATCATTTTCTATAGCAACAAATGGTAATACTTCTTCAAAAATGCATACYGCTTTTGCAACTCTTGTATTGTGACTGCGTTGTGTACATGTGAAAAAATGATGAAGTGTTCCCTTTTTATAGCGGAAACCAGAAGTTTTCAATGCAGGGACCATATCTGTTGTAAGTTAAGAGCTAACCTCTTATCTCACCAGGATACTTTTGGAAAGATTCATTTGATTTTTATTCCTGTTCTCCTTTTTTGAAGATATTTGGGCCATAGGGTGTATATTTGCAGAGCTGCTAACATCAGAGCCGATATTCCACTGTCGACAAGAAGATATCAAAACTAGCAATCCTTATCACCACGACCAGCTGGACAGAATATTCAACGTAATGGGATTTCCTGCAGGTACATATTATATTTTTATCATTGCTGTTCAAAGAAAAATATTTGTATTGCTTTCTTAGCATATGAAAGTGGCAGCTGATCAAAGCAGCAAAGCTGTTCAAACATGATTTTTGTGAGCCATAACATCTAGAATGTAGTGGTCATTTTGAATAGCTTTTCTTTATTCTGATACAGTTATCTTTGTGTACACATGTATCATTGTTTTATAAYGTAAAAGGATTATGCTTCATGGTGGATAATAAAAGTCAGAAGAAATATTTATGGTTTTTTTTCAGTTCTGATTTTAGATTTGGAAAGCAAGTGATGATGGAACTGATCATCAGCCAAACAAATCTGTATATTTGGTTAATATTCTACAGATGTGTAACTTTTGCTAAAATAAATAATTYGGAAGCAGAGAGGATTTTTTTTCTTTTTTTCTTGGTAGAAAATTTATATTATATTAGTCATCATTCTGAAACAGAGAAAAGAACTAGATGAAAACCAAAACCAGTCACAGCGTGGAGATTCCTTAGTGCATTTTCCCCTCAGCACTGGCCAGCTCATGTTTTTCTGCAGACTCTCTTACATCTTTTCAATTAACGGACTGTCTTCTCTAGTGCTTATATGATCGCAGATGGCAGACGAACAGGGGGCTCATTTTCACTTTTTGCTCATTTTTCTGCCCACTGTTTGTGTTCCTCCTTACTGCTGTCCATTCAGTGTTGCCGATCGTTTTCTGTATCATTCTGATGGACTTTCTGCTTCTCATTTATAAAGTTTATGTTGTTTATTTCTACATGGTTCTAGTATTTTCTTCTTAAATTTGTTCTCATTTTTCCACTCTTAATACTTTATACACTTCATGGTGTCTGTTTAGCTGCATTCTGGAAGAGCTGCTTTCATGTATCGAGTACTTTCCTTTTCTACTCTTTGCCTGGATTTTTTTAACATTTCGTATGTGTATGATCATTGTACAAATTACTTAAGCAGATGATACTCTGGTTATTTCATGACAGGTTTAAGTAGTCCTGTCTAATGCTCTGCATTTGATCTGGAGATCTTTGGTTCTTACCAGAATGTATTATTTTTCAGTTAATTGCAGCAAATTACTTTTGCCTCTGTGCTTGACATTTTCCATAATTGAAATAGTTTCACCAGCCCTTACGAGTTCTAGGGGAAAAAAAGGAGCAAGTGGAAAACAGCAAGAATCTCCACTGATTTGTTACTGATTAAGTATTTTTGAGCTTCTAGTGTTCCATAATTGGGGTAAGTCTTAGTAATGATTTGAACTGCTTGTCCCCACACTCTCCTTAGGAGGTGCAGAGTCTGTGGTGATGGAGCTTTCTGAGGTTCCACAACCCTCCCAGAAACCTGAGGGATCTGGAGATCTTCCAAAGCCGCCTGGCTGCCACCCTGTGCCCCGTGCTCTGGGTGTCCCTGCTGGAGCAGGGGGTCGGAYGGGATGATCTCTAGAGGTCCCTTCCAACGTCAACCAGTCTGTGATTCTGGGAAACGCTTCCCGAGTAGTTTGAAGATGTGTTCTAGGTCAGGAATAACAGATTTATAAAATACCTCAATGATTTTTTTTTTCCTAGTTAACACACTGCTATCAAAAATCTCTTAACTAAGAGTCTTTATCAGAATTGTATGTACTCCTATAAAGAAATCGTTATTGTTCCTAAATAAATTTGGATACATGAAGGTAGCAAGTAAAATGGCTGCTGTGTTTTTTTTCTGTGCTATCCCACACACAAAGCAATTCTCAGTGTAGCTGGCAGCTGTTCTTAAAAGTCCTTGAGTTAATCAGCACATAATTGGGATACCTTTTAGGTATTCATTAGGCTTACTGTGAACAGGTGATGGCAGAATGTGAGTCAAAGAATACAAAGATAAAGTAGCTGCAAATATTAGAGAAGTGCCATGAAAAAAAAAAAAAAAAGTCAAGGTTACCGAGATACTTTGAAAGCTTTTGTGCTTTACTGGGCAAGAGGGAACAAAAAAATACTAACAAATGTTGACTTTTCACAGATAAAGACTGGGAAGACATAAAAAAGATGCCTGAACATTCAACTTTAATGAAAGATTTCCGGAGAAACACGTAAGTCTGGGTTTATTTGAGCTCCCTTGAGGAAGTGGACTTTCCCTCCCACTCCCAGTTTATTGTAGCTGAGRTTGTTTGCTGGGTAGATTCTACATGATGTCTCTGCAATGGCTGTGGCTTAAACTGGGAAGGAAGAAAAATAAATCTGTTTTTTAATGGTGAACTTGGGCTTTTGCATTGATGTGATCCCAGAGCACTGGTGAAACTCTGCCTATAAATGGCAAAGATTCAGTGCAGTCCCTGGTGTCAGTAAGGCCTTGGGTAGCTATGAAGATGACACCTTTTCACAGCTGTTTCCACATCTATAACACTGGGAATTATTTTTTTGTGAGTAAAGCTGCACTGAAGAAAAAGACCTGGCATCCTCATACTCTTCCCAAAAAACTTGGAACTTAATTTAGGATAGTATATGAAGACTAAAGATAAGCCTGCCTTAAGGCTTGATGTCACGATGCCACAGCGAAATGCCCACGCAGAGGCCACTGTTGCCTGGTTGTTTCTGGTTTCTGTGCTGGTCAGGCTGAGGGGTGTTTCCCTGAACTGTAACAYACTTTTCTTACATTTCCTATGCTGTTGCAACAAACCATTAGAACATCTTATTTCTGAACTTCTGCTCAAAAAAAAATGTATTCATGGGTGTTCCTGAAAAAAAAAAAAAAGTGCATTTTAGGATAGTGTGAAGATGAACTTAGTATTTATCTTTATGTTCTCTGGTTTAGAAATATGCAGAATACAACTGTGCAGTTGTTGCAAAACAGTTTARGTGATAGTTTGATGTCTGCATGTGGCTTGAATCATTTTTAAGCAGTTTTCTGCTGAAGGTAGTCGTTCTTATCTCTGCTTTAATGTATTAGCAGTGAAGGCTATTCTTATTAATATTTCTTGAGTGCTAAGTAAGCTTTCCAGTATCACCGATTTGAATATTAGAAATCTTACTTTTTTYTTTCTTTCTCCAGGTATACCAACTGCAGCCTTATCAAATATATGGAAAAACATAAAGTGAAGCCAGATAGTAAGGCATTCCACTTGGTAGGTTCCTGCATTTRTAAAAATCAAAAAACTGCATTTAAGTTATAATTGTGCAAATTGAGTGGTGAGCTAGTGCCAAACAGTCTGTGACTGATTTTATTTTCAGTAGTCCCAAACTAGCTGATACTTTGCAGACTGGAAACTGCAAAACACTTCATTTTCTCATATCAATAAAATGATTCCATGAGTCATTTGTTGGATTAGTTCCGGAATACAGAACATGAGAAGCTTTTTGTTTTTAACAGACATGATAAATTTGTAGTTTTACTTCCAGTGTTGCTGCARATCTTAGGCATTTTGCTGGTTTGCTGCATACAGCCTATTTCTGTCTATTTTTAAAAAGATGTCTAAATGCAYAGTTTTTATGTAGTCATTATTAAGCTTAATTTGTGCTCTTTGCAAAAACATAATTTTAGTTTTGAACATTTTATTGTGATTCCCTTGCTGCTGTATTTATACAACTAACCCGTGTAGAATTAAAATATATATATACGCACACACATATATATGTGTATGTGTTAGTGTATACATGCACTCAAATTATTTTTAACAAAACTCTCTTTAAAATTATGCACTTGCTCTGCTCTGGAAGGGTCATGTTGTTTCAGGAATTACTGAATTGGGCCTTCTCTTCCACATTTAAAAAACCCTCAAGTTTTTCCAGTAAGCTTTAGAGAGACAGGAAAAGAAGTAATTTAATTCTCTCTGCGTGGACATTTCCCTTTTATTGTTGTTTTCATAGAATCATAGAATGCCGAAGGTTGGAAGGGACCTCAGAGGTCATCGAGTCCAACCCCCCTGCTCACGCAGGGTCACCTAGAGCACGTGGCACAGGGCTGCATCCAAGCGGGTTTTA